AATGATATATAAAAATATAAAATGATGATATAAAAATAAGGTTTGTCTAACTTGTATTTTAAAGACATAGGTTAAAAGAATTTTAAATGTATTTTTAATACATTAATTTACATAGAACAATAAAAAAATTAACATTAACTTTAACATTTATGATATATAAATATTTTTTATTAGATAATTGATAAATTTAATATCAATCTTTTACTTTTATTATGAATATTAGTGACAAAAAAATATAATAAATACACTTTTATCTTATGATTTAAAAATCCCATAAAAATTCCGTATAATTGCCCTTCTTAAGTAATAATAGCGACAATTCATTTGAATTGTCCCGAAATTCATGTAAAATTTTAATTGGAGACGCCTTATCTTTTACAATTTTTTCGTTTAGGGGAAACGGAAGAATTGGCGTCCCCAACTACTTATATTTTTCCGAAGGCTAATTTAAATGGCGTCGTCTGCTTCATAAACCCAAAAATAAGTTGAAATCAACCCCTTCTTTCACCAAATCATGATATGTGAGGGAAACCAAACCCATCGATTAGGCCGGGGGAGATGTGTTCTGTGTGTGGTACTGTGGTCTACACGGTAAGTCTCTCTCTGTGGCCACCTTGCTTCCCCTTCCTATTTTAGGTTCAGAGTCGTTGTGTCATTCGCTGAATTTGATTAGCGAAAAACTACGTAAGTTCTTTTATTTTCATTATTTTAATTGCAACCATGTGACGATTAATAACGGAGCTCAAGCATTCCCTTTCTCGCTTCACTTACTAGAAAGTCTAGTCTAGTATCTTCAGTCCTTTTGTTTTTCCTTGGTTTCTTACTATTTCTCAGCATCCAAACAGTAAAATTTAGGAGTAGTTTGTCTTTAATTTGTTCAATGAGGTTTATTTTCTTACTTTCATTCTTTACAGGAAAGTTCGGCTCTTGCCTTTGATTGATTTGGTAGGAGACATCAAACCAGAGTCTGTAAATTAATTCTCTTTAAGTTCATACGTGATTTTCTTATACTTCAGACTTTAATTCTAAATTGGTATTTGTTGTTATTATATGGTTGAATCTTAATTGGCTGACTTCACTTAAACTGGAATCTAATTATTTCATAATCTGTAGTTAGCTCTTAAACACTTTTGGGCTAAACCTTGTCTTGTGCTGTATTTTGTTTCCCGTTGTACCTTGCTATTGCTACCATCCTATATCAAGATACGAGAGAAATCCGCATGCCCTACTCAAAATAGTCACTTTGAATCTCTGTAGCTTGCTTTAATAAAATTGTTTATTTGATTGGAATATGTCTTTTTTCAGAAGGAAGTAATCTGAGGAATCCAAATTGTTTATACATGAATTTTTGTGTATTGAGTTATTTCTCTTTTGCAAGATGAAATTTATCAGCCAAATTCTTGTGTAAGCAATTGATGATGATTGCAATCAGACAGAGTAAATGGTGGCTGAGCTTCCTGGTTGGCCATAAGGAACCTTTGCTTCGAAGGTTAGTGTGGTAGTCTTATCATTTTCCTTTATACTGGAGCTATCTATATATATAGAAGATGAATAATAATCTGATAGTCACCATATTGCTCTTCAATTACATCATTATCTTTTCTACTGTTATCAAGAAACATTCCCTTGTTAATGCAGCTAATTGTTGGTTAGTATTAATTTATGATCCTAATAGGATTGCGTGATACATCTAGATAGTCAGGGTACCATGCTATTAGTTTAATATGGGTGATAGCCATTTGGTTGCTAGTATAAAAAAGGGTGGTTTCATGAAAATTCATAGCGATGGATTTCATTTAAAATACGCTGTCTCATTTGTATTACAAAGTGTCATGTTTGTCATGTTTGTACTATTCTTTGGAAGGATCTGTTGGGTTGAGTTCTATATGCTAAATGTTAATTTAATTAGCAATTAAGGGATGCTCGGTAAGGTAATTTGCTCGGAAGCAGAAAGGGACGTATAAAGCCAGCAGTTGTGGTTATGGGTACCTGTGGTTGAAGCTTAACGCAGGGTTCAGTTTATTGGAGATAATTATGGATTGCAGATAATTTTGATTTTAGTATATCTAGTATTTATTTGAAATATCTGGTATATCTGAAATATATTTGGCATATCTGTACTTATCTCATAGAATTTCTTAGTTATTATTTAGTAGGATTCTCAACTGATTTAGCTCAGTTGATTTAGCCGCCTTTTACTCTGATCTCTTGTATATATGATGTACTGATCTTTTTCAAAGTAATATACAGAAATAGTATTCCATTCATAAACTTATCATGGTATCAGAGCATTCTTTCCTGCGTTTCTTTCTATAAGTCATAAATCTATTTTTCATCCCATGTCAGCCGCCAGAGAAAATGCAACTCCTCTTACAAGCACAACAAACATGGAGGCAGATCCATCATCTCCCTTTTATCTACATCATTCTGATGGTCCAGGCACTACACTTGTGACACAACTAATGACAGGGAACAATTATCCCACATGGAGCCGTGCAATTACTATGGCTTTTGAAGCTAAAAACAAACTTGGATTTGTTGATGGAACAATTCCAGAACCAAGTGCTACATCAGCAAGATATACTATCTGGAAACATTGCAATAGCACGGTTCTTTCGTGGCTTCTGAATGCTGTCACCAAGGAGATAGCCAATAGTGTGGTCTTTATGAAGACAGCTCGAGCAATTTGGCTTGATTTGAATGAACGGTACTCACAACATAATGCCCCACGTGTTTTCAAAATTCAAAGGTCCATTGTGAATCATATGCAAAGAAATGATTCAGTCACAACATATCACACCACGTTGAAGAGTTTATGGGATGAGTTGTCTATCTACAACACCTATCCTACATGCACTTGTGGGACTATGTCTGAAATCATTCAACTGGAAGAACAGGGGCGCCTAATGCAATTTCTCATGGGACTTAATGAATCTTACAGCAACTTAAGGAGCCAAATCCTGATAATGAGTCCTTTACCTACTGTTACAAAAGCATTATCTTTGGTTTTACAGGATGAGAGGCAGCGCTCCATTCAAGTACTTTCTCAACCACCTTACCCAGAGCAGTCTACCATGGCTGCAAGTAATGTGCAGAGGTCTTATTCTGGCTATCGACAGAGTCAGTCTTTCAAAAATAAGGGTACCAGACCTTTCTATCATTGTGATTTCTGTGGAATGGATGGTCACTCTGAGTCTCGTTGTCGTAAAAAGCCAGGCAATTCTAATTTTCCACAGAGGCGTGAGACTAGGGAGTTTCACTCTCAGCAGTCACGATTGCAGAATAGACCTATGGCTGCAACTGTCGATCATGAGGCATTACGTTCAGACTGTGACCAACCTTTCACTCAGGAACAAATTCAACAGCTTCTTTCCCTTATTCAACCAAATATCACAAATTCTTCTAATTCTAATCCATTAGTCAACATGGCAGGTAAACTTTCTAGTTTTTCTCAATTTCATATTCCTTGGATTGTGGATTCCAGTTGTACAAGCCATATTACTAGTAAGTTACATTCTTTGCATGACATGCGTCCTTATCATGGAGTTCCAGTAAATTTAACTAATGGAACTCATGTACCCATTGCTCATTCTGGTTCTCTTAGTTTCAACTCTTCCTTACATTTAGACCAAGTTATTCATGTCCCTTCATTTAAATTTAACCTCTTATCAGTTAGCAAAATAACAAAAGCCTTAAATTGTTCTGTTTTATTTTTGCCTAATTGTTGCATTTTTCAGGACCTGTTAACGAAGAAGGTGATTGGTTTGGCGAAGGAGCATGATGGTCTTTACTACCTAGACACCACCACCAACAATTCACCAAATATTTCTCTTTCTGCAACTACTTCACCCTTAGACGTTTGGCATTGCAGGCTTGGGCATCCTGGTTGCAATACTTATTCTCAATTTTCCAATTTAGATAAGAAGGTTACCTTTTTCAATAATTGTCCTTGTAATGTCTGCCCTTTAGCTAAACAAAGTCGAATAAGTTTTCCAAATAGTTCTATCTCTACATCTCATTGTTTTGATTTAATTCATATGGATATTTGGGGGCCTTATTCTACTCCATCCATCACAAGGGCTCATTATTTCTTAACGATTGTGGATGACTTTTCTTGCAATACTTGGGTTTTCTTAATGCAACATAAATCTCAAACATTCAGCATATTGCAAAATTTCTTCTTCATGGTTAAAACACAATTTAATGCCACCATACGTCGTGTTCGTAGTGACAATGGTGCAGAATGTTTTAGTACTAATATTGTTACTTTTTTCAACTCACTTGGTGTTGTTCATGAGCACAGTTGTGTCGATACACCTCAACAAAATGGGGTTGTAGAGCGCAAACATAGACATTTGTTAAATGTTGCAAGGGCACTTCGTTTTTATTCCAACCTTCCTTTAAAATTTTGGGGTGAATGCATATTGACTACTACGTATCTTATTAATCAAACACCTTCAAAAGTGCTTAAGGGTAAAACACCTTTTGAAATTTTATTTAATAAAGCTCCTAAATATGTGCACTTGTGTGTCTTTGGTTGTTTATGCTTTGGACGTAATGTCCACATCAAACATAAATTTGATTTTTGAGCACATCCAGGCATCTTTATTGGTTATCCTTTTGGACAAAAAGGTTACAAAATTTTTGACATTCAAACTCAAAAGATTTATGTTAGTCGTGATGTTACTTTTCATGAAAATGTTTTTCCATCTAGTGTTGTGACCACTGATGCCTCCACTTTGTCCCTTCCGCTTCCTATTTCAAATATTGATTTTCCCTCAATGGAACAAGCTGATTCCTTGTCTTCACCTGCATCACCTACAAATGATATCATTTTACATCCAGCCTCCATTACAACTGACCCTCCACCAACTCCTCCTATTGTTCCCATAGTAGAATTGATACATTCTCAACGACGGACCCAAATACCATCAAGGTTTAAGGACTATCACTGCTTCAACGTGCTTCCTCAATCATCTTCTCCGGCTTCAGGTACACAGTTTCCCCTTCATCAATACTTGAGTTATTCTTGTTTTTCTCACCCTTATTGTGCTTTCCTTCATTCTTTATCTTCTGATATTGAACCTGCAACATTTACCCAAGCTGCTAAGTTTCCTGAGTGGAGGGAGGCCATGCAGACTAAACTTAATGCCTTAGAAGACACTCACACATGGTCTCTTGTTTCTTTGCCTGCTGATAAACTGCCGATTGGTTGCAAATGGGTTTATAAAATCAAAAGGAAATCTGATGGCAGCATCCATCGATACAAAGCCCGTCTTGTTGCTAAAGGTTATACACAAGTTGAAGGTATTGATTATCATGATACTTTTGCACCTGTAGCTAAGCTTGTGACAGTTCGGGTTCTTTTGGCTATTGCTGCTATGAAACAATGGTCCTTACATCAATTAGATGTTCAGAATGCCTTTTTCCATGGTGATTTACATGAAGAAGTGTATATGTCATTGCCTCCTGGACATCCTCGCTAAGGGGAGCATGGTCTTGTCTGCAAGTTGAACAAATCCCTTTATGGTCTTAAGCAAGCATCACGCAATTGGTTTGCCAAATTTTCTCATGCTTTACTTGCTATTGGATTTACTCAATCATTTGCAAATTACTCTCTCTTTTCTTTGTCTCGTGGAGCTTCATGTGTTTATGTCTTGGTATATGTCAATGATATGGTGATCACAGGTAGTAGTCCTCAACTAATCAACCAGGTGAAAGAATTCTTATTTAGTCAATTTCGCCTTAAGGACTTAGGTCCTCTCAAATATTTTTTGGGTATTGAAGTTACTTCTTCCCCTCAAGGCCTCTATCTTTCTCAACATAAGTACACTATTGAGCTTCTTAATGACGCTAGCCTTCTTGGATCTCGAACTGTTGATACACCTATGGAGCAGAATCTGAAGCTTCTTCCTTCTGATGGTTCTCCTCTTATTGATGGTTCCATGTATCGTCGTCTGATTGGTCGTCTCATATATCTCACCATTACAAGGCCAGATATCTCCTTTACAGTAAACACATTGAGTCAGTTTCTTCAGTCTCCTCAGAAATGTCACTTGGATGCAACACATCGATTGCTTCGATATTTAAAGAAAACCCCAGGTCGAGGTATTTTACTTTCTTCTAAGGGCTCTCTCCAGTTGACTGCTTTTTGTGATTCTAATTGGGCAAGTTGTCTCACCACTCGACGCTCCACCACCGGTTACTGCATCTTTCTTGGTAATAGTCCTATTTCTTGGAAGAGTAAGAAGCAAAACACAGTCTCTCTTTCTTCTGCTGAGGTTGAGTACCGTGCCATGGCCACCATAACTAAAGAAATTATCTGGTTGCATAGCTTATTGTCCACCTTTGGCATTCAACTCCCTACTCCTACTCCATTATATTGTGACAATCGAGCTGCCCATCATATAGCTACTAATCCTGTTTTCCATGAAAGAACAAAGCATCTTGAGATAGAATGTCATGTTGTTCGTGAGAAATACCAAGCTGGTCTTATTCTTCCACTCTCTATTGCTTCTGCAGATCAACCTGCTGATATCTTCACAAAGGCATTAGGCAAAGATCACTTCTTCTATCTTTGTGACAAGCTGGGCATTCGGAATTTTCATGCTCCAGCTTGAGGGGGAGTATTGGAGATAATTATGGATTGCAGATAATTTTGATTTTAGTATATTTGGTAGTTATTTGAAATATTTGGTATATCTGAAATATATTTGGCATATCTGTACTTATCTCATAGAATTTCTTAGTTATTATTTAGTAGGATTCTCAGCTGATTTAGCTCAGTTGATTTAGCCGCCTTTTACTCTAATCTCTTGTATATATGATGTACTGATCTTTTTCAAAGTAATATACAGAAATAGTATTCCATTCATAAACTTATCACAGTTCTCTTCACCTCATTTCTTATTCTTCATCGTTATGCTTGTAGGCTTGTATTTGGGACTTTACAATTATGAGTCCATCCTTCCCATTTGGGTATAACTTTTTTTTTTATCTCCAACTTGTTGGTATATTTTCTGCATTATACTTCAAGAAGTGTCGTTCCTGAGAAAGGTATTACTTTTAGACAATCGTATGCTTTCATATCCCTTCCCATATTTTTTTCTACTAAAATATTTCTCATGATTCTGTTTTGAGTTAGCAAAGGATGGAGATGAGTCGCTGATGACGTGGAACTGGAAATAAAGTACTGTGAGGGGAAAGTTCCTTATTATGTAATATAGCTGTCTGTATGCAATACATTTAGTTATGATATGTTCTGCCATTAAACTAAGGAGTAATAAACATTTTAAGTTCTGCTTGTCTTTTTAATAAAAATTCTGAGTTTTATTGTCTCGTCTAGTGAAATCTTTACAGTTTGTTGGTTTTAAGGGAAATGCATATTTAACTATCTTCTCTAATTCTTATTTTTCTGTTGTGCTAAACTAATATTACTATATTAGCTCTCCATTGTTCAAATGTGGGATGATAAAATTATCAAGTTGATGATTGGGTTGGTGTCGCAAAAAAGGGGCTTCTTTTTCCATAGTAGGGCTAATTTCAATTCAAAATTATAGATAAGATTCCATCATTGAATTGTTTTACTTGATTAACATATGCTCTTAAATAATTCTTGGATGCCTTTGAACTGAGATGTATTAATTGCATTTTTTTTACTCAATTTTTTGTAAGCTGTATTTTTTTATTCTTTCCACTTGATTACTTTTCCATTTAACACACTAAAAAAAAAAAGCGTTATACTAATTTGAGTTTTTAAAATTTTGTTTTATGTTTTTATTAGTTAGACTAGTGATGCTCTTGATATTTGGAGATCATGTTGCATATGTTGAAGCTGATAATAATTGCTATTAGATTAGAAGAAGTTGTGGCGGTGAAGAAATGATCTCGAGATTATGAAGAATAAGTTGAAAGCATATGAAGAATAGTTGAGAGGTTATGAAGAAGAAAGGGAGAAGAAAAGGCAATGCAATGAAAGAATTCAAAGAATGATTGGAAAATTTGAAGAAATGTGACGTACACAAGCGGTGATACGTTCAGATGAAGAGTGGCAGCTGGAAAACATTTACATACGGATACCGTCTTAATTAGTTATCTCTTAGCATTTTTAGACCTTTTAGTTGTTGATGCACTTCTTTGTTATATTTAAAGTACAATTATATAACTTCTGTTCTATTTTAATTAAACACATAAATTAAGCTTACAATTTTTATTAAATTATATTTTTTGTTGCATTCTGTTTGCTGTCATTAAATTAGAAATTATTAAAACAACTAAATGAAAATTTTCATTGGTGAATAAATAAAAGTAAGCTTTTAAGGACGTTCACCTCACTAAAGCAAAGATATGGGGGATGATAACGTACCTAGCTTGCATTCCTTGGGTACACTATTGTCTACAAAACTATGCTTTTATGGGACATGTCGATGCTAATGGTTTTAGGGATATTCCATCCCCAAAGACTTTAATGGTTTTTGTGATGTGTTGCGCCCAAAGGTTTCGATAACATGTCGTACTAAAAGATTTTGGGATGTATCGTCCCAAATGGTTTCGGGAATGCTACATCCCCAATAGATGTGTTGTCCCCAAGAGTCTTCTTAGGGCACAATACGTCTCTTAGAGTATTGGGCATGAGACGTTCCAAAAATACAATAATGCAGCGTCCCTAAAGGGTTTTTGGAACCA